TTGTCCACATGAGTCCCACCTGACTCAAGGATTCTGAGTTCCCTGACTTCCCAGTGTAGTGCACAGGGTAGCACGGGCTGTGCTGGGGCTACTGGTTCACTCATGCACTGAGGGTAGTATGGTCTATCTCAGAGACAAACATTCTTGGATCTCTTAGGGTGAGTAAATGCTCACTTTCAGATCTTCAGTGCATAACCTCAAACCTCTGTATCGACGATTCCTGCTTGGTTCTTTGAATACACTGTTCTTTAAAAATGATTCTTTAAAAAAAAAAAAAAAGAACTAATTAATTTCAAGACGTGATGTGAAAGCTTATCCCTGCTGCTGTAAGATCTAGTGTCAAACTTCCTGTGAGGACAGCGTGCTTCCTATTGCAAATCCCTCTATTTACACCAGTGGCAGTGTTTATGACACTGTTCGTTTTTAATTATGGCTTTCCTGAAATTTTAGGAAAAATAATCACCTCTTTTTCCCCCCTTCCCAATACTAATCTTCTCAACAGTATTTAATCACAAGGAAAGTATTCTATGTAGGTGTTGGCATTTGGGATAATTTTCAGCACTTCATGAGAGTCAAAGGGTGGAATTTGCCTTTGGATGTATGTGTGCACCAAGGGAAGAAAGGTGTCCATCTAAAAGAGCAGTTTGACTGAAAGTCTCTTCCTCAGTAGGAAACCTTCTGTTGATTTCAGTGGATTGGCAGAAATCAACCCAGTAGGTAATTAACACAGGTAGAAACCTGGCCTCATTTTTATGGCATTGCTTAATGATCATGTTCGTTGCTTTCTTACTATTGCTTCAGAAATGCCTCAGTTATCATTCATTGAATTTCTTTTGGTTGGGTCTGTCTAATTCTTTGCTTTTCAAAGTCAAAGTGTGAACAAGAAGTGCAGAATTTCATCACAAAAGCTGTACAATGCAGAAGAATTGACACCTAGAGAAACAAGCAGAGTTAAACGGGATTTGACAGGCTGCAGAAAAGAGAGAATGAACAAGATGCAAACAATGAGCAGCAACTACTTATCATTTCACTGGTCACCACAACACATTAAAACTTTCAAAGGCTGTGAAATTAATTGCATGCAGAACAGCACTCAAGGTGCTTAATACTTTGTCTCTCTGGGACAATTTGCTAAGAGCCATCTTTTGAACTACAAATACAAAGCAGGAAAGATGGGGCTCTCTCTGGCTGTGTCATTCTTCATTTTAATGAGGAAAAAATGTCACACTGAGCAGTGTGAATGTGAAATATTATAATGTGCTTCAGTTTTATGTCAGAGCAAGTATGTTTCTTAAAAGAGCCCTAATGATTCTAAATTTTAGACCTTGTTGACAAGACATCTGCTTACTTGGCCTGTGGTTTGAGTCTCATGTATAAACTCATTATCATATATATTAAAAGAAACCTATTAAAATATTTGCATTTTAAAATGAATGATTAAAAAGAACCCATCCACCCTTCCCATCTTTCAGAAACTTGTTCTTTTTGTCGTGCAAAGCATTCCACTGGGGAGAGAGAAATAATACGTTCGTTATTTTCAAGCCATTTAACATTTGGGTAATTCTTATAATTACTTTTCTCTTTAATTGTTAAAGCTGGAAGGCTGATATAATATTACTTTTAAAATTCATAGTTCAATGTAAATAATCTTTTCTGTACCCACAGACCTCTCAGCTGGATGCTGACTATAACCCTAAGGGTGCTCATTCCTCTTTTTGGTCTTATTTGTTATTTGCTCCTCATCAGTTTTCTATTATTCTCTTTCCTGCCTCTTCAGCTGTCTAGATGCACATGTAATGGGTGAAACAACACTTGAAGCCTTGCTGCTTGTTTATTTAAACAAACCATACTGAGATGAAAAGAGCTGATGATTACAAAGATGTAACAGATCTTATCTAAAAGCTCATCAGGCTCTTGAGAGATTTTAGAAGATCTCCCACCTGGACTCGAGGCTCTGAGATCTTCGCCTGCTGCCCCTGGTGCAGCACAGAGCAGGATGCTCCCCTTGCTTTGGTGGGCAGGTTGCTGGTTGGCTCTGTAAGAATGGGTTTGGGTGTGTGTGGGCTCAGCCCGCTCTCAGCTCTGTTAAGTTCCACTGAGCTGGTGGTTTGCAGGTTGCAGGCAGTTCGGGTCTCCTCTGGTAGATCTGGTAGCTGCAAGAGAAACATTTGAATATATCCATAGGCCAAGAGGCTGCTTGCTATGCAGGCTGTTCTCTTGTTTGTTAAAAGGCCTCTGCACAAGGCACGAGGAGTGCAGCAGCATGCAGTGGGGAAATAGTTAGCTGAGAAGGTTCTGCTGCCTTCCAGCCCTGGGCACCCACGAGGCTGGGATGGCATGGATCTGCTAACACACCCACCAGCATCGTGCTGGGATTTGTGTTTCAGATGGAGCAAAGATGAGACTCATTTACTCTGGAGTACTGCTGGTTGCTCTGAGATGAATTTTGTTTGGTGGCAAGGCTAGCAAGAAACTACTTTGCTGCTGAGGTTTCTCATGCCTAGCGAGGAGACATCTTTATTTCCATACACTCCTCTTCCACTCTCCTCTCTTAAAAAATATAATCTTTGGTGTGTCAGTTTCCTAAAACATGCTTAGTGCTTTCTCAGGCATTTAAACCATTTTGTTGCATATTGAAAGCGGCTGTATGGGAAAAGGAAACGGCTCCTGCTGCTTCACAAAAGCAATATGTATAGCATCACAGCTGGAAATAGCATGTTTTATGAACCTGATTTATCTCTCTGCTGTGTGGTATAAATCCTGCTTCCTCACTGCATGGCCTGCACGTGCATTTTCAAGGGCCTAATCCTGCAAGGTCCTGAACGAGGCGCAGAGGAAGGATTCAATTACAAATAAACGTTGATTAGGGGATTGCTGTAACTCCTACACATCCTCTGCCACCTGCCAGGGCAAGCACTCTGTAGAATGGCACAGATCAATGAAAATATTTCCTACCCACTGGAATTATTACATACAGTACTTAATACAATATTTGAAAATCAGAATTATAGCCCATGCAAAGCAGAACATGCTAGCACCTCACTCAACACAGTCCCTTTGTTCCATTCCATGGTTGTTAGCAGACGATAGACTTTTATGACTTCCATTTTATGATGTTTTCCCTTTTGCACAATGTATTTTGTTGCCAGTTTTCACAGACTGCCAAATCCTTTGCAGAAAGACAGCTGCCTGGTCCCTGTTAAAATATCCGAGTTGTCCAGGTCCTTAGCTAATTCATTGTCCCCATGATGTTGGGAAGGGTCACAGGTAACTGAGGCAGAGAGAGAATGAGGTATGAGGGTACTTTACATGATCCAGATGTGTAGGAGCCAAATGCAGCTGTGTTCTTGCTGCCACCAGGGCTCTCTGTGAGTGAACCACAGGTGCAGCTGTGCTCCAAGCTGCCAGGCCCAGCTGCCTTTCCAGCCCACCTGTACCAGCAGTTATCTTTGAATGTCACATACTCTACTGACTATTAAGAGCCATGGAAGCTGCGTTCTGTTTCTCTTCTTAGATAATCCAGTTTTTGATTTAGTTGCCCTAGTATCTTGTCCTGTGATGAACATCCAGTACTGAACTACAAAACCTTGAGTATCTCTTTGTCTTGACTATGTACAGCATGTGCAACGTGTTTATTATGAAGGTTAGGCAACGATCAGAAGCCCAGCATGCTTGTTACTGTGTAAACCTCAGCAAGATGTCCCTGTCCTGCAATTTGAAACAGCAAAGATATGTAAGAGGTGGGAAGTGTTGTTTGAACAATGGGGAAGCTGAAGCACACTCATTAAATACCTCACCCAGCATCACACACATCATCACACACACATCAGAAAAACACTTCTGTCTTCAGTCCTTTCCCTGTAACTTAGCAGCAAGTCTTCTGTCCTGCGTGTGAACCCAATAGGTATACAGCCCAGTGACAGTTACTGATTAACAAAAAAAAGCTGTTATGCTTTACAAAGTGTTGGAGTATTTTATGTTTTCATGTCTGTTGTGGTGTCCTTCCCTCTCAGCATGAGACAGAAAGAGATCCTCCAGATAACAGTGTCTTTATTAGCTGTAAGCTCAGCCAAACATGTGCTAGTTTGTCTGTCACTATGCTACGGTTATCTGCAGGACAGGAATAGAAAATTAATGTCTAATCTTTAAAAAGGGCTTAGGAAAATTATTTCAACCTTTATCCTGCCCCAGCTCAGCTCTGCTTAAATGCTATAATGGTCTAAATAGCTTTTGTTTCCAACATGGACATCAGGGCACCATAGAGGAGCCGCCAGGAAGGAGGCAGCGGCAGCTAGCTGGGGACAGAGACCTGCACATAAAGACAAAACTGAGGAATGTTACATTTCCAACTTTCTTTTCATTTCTCTAACAAGGAAAGGTGCAGCTGTGCATCTGGGAATAAACCAGCAGGGGAAAGGTGGAGGTTGGACAAGGAGGGGAGCTCTCATCCTTCAATGCTAGCAAGAAATGCTGACTCTTAATTCAGTGAATGCTGAATTCTCTCTGTGTCATTGTGACTTCTTGGTCTCCTAGAGAAGATCCTGGATATGTTTTTCTACTAAAACTTTTAGGAAAGAGTAAATAAATCTCCAGTAGTCTCTGGGGATTCCATCTGTGGCAGCAACAGGCTGGAGTGTGCTGAGTCGCAGCCTCTCATAACCACTGGAGAAACCCTTGGTGCTTCAGGAGCTTCTTGAAAACGTCACCCCAGCGTAGGGTGGAAGAGGATAGCAGTGTATGACCTCATGATACTGGCTTAAACATTTTTACTGTCTCCATATTTAAAATACAGAAGTTGCCTGATGGGAAAGAGAAGATATAAAAGCCCATTTCTCAGAAGAGAGCGCTTTCCTTTGGTCTTGTGGGAAGAGAGAGGGCTAATCTATGCTGCTCAAGGATTTTTTTTTTAGCTTCAATTTCTACTAGAAAAAAATGGTAATTTATGACCATATTTACTGGCTTCAAACTCATTATTAATTTACCTTTGCATTTCTCTTCAGTCTGGACTGTGCTGTCACACAGAGCAGCTGCTCCACCCCACATCACACGCTGTGCCCTTGCAGAGCCTTCCCCATCCCCAGGTGAGTGGAAAGGAGACTGCAGGCCTGCATTCCTACGGCACACCCCTACATCAAATAGGAAGGGCAGAAGATGGCTTGGCATGGTCCAAAACAGGATGTAAGGAGCAGCCTGTTCTGCCTTGGCCTCTAGTGGTATTTCAGGATGCTTCAGTGAGATTCATCTCAGCTGAACACAAAGCGCCTCTGGCTGCTCCACTCCATTAGGTATCTACACACAGCGTTAGATCTAACTGGATTAAAAACGTGATTTGCTTTCACTGCGTGCCCTTTTGGATTCAAAGTGGTGTCTTTCCTCCTCTCCAAACAAAGGTGGAGTAATGGAAATAGCAGTGAGTCACCAGGTATACGGGGGAGACTGGCAATAGCATTAGCAGTTCTCCTGTCGTTCTGCTGCCCCTCAGAGTACGTTGGGCAATGCATGCCTCTGCTCAGGGTGTCTGAATGCTCTGGGTCACCATGGCAGTGAAAGGCCCTCTGTACTTTATGGGAGGTGTTTATAGCATCAGTCTCTGGGGCAGAATTAGAAAAGCTACCTGTCCTTGCTGTTAACTGCCTTACTGTTGAATGAAGTAAAACTACAGCAAATGGCCTTAGGATGTATATAGAGAAAGTGGTACATAAGGTTATAGGTTTCTAGTCTGTATTACGGCTGATCATCTCAGTAGTGCTTGGGTTTGGGATTGGGACAGGCAGCTGCTCGCTCTCTTTGGATATAACATGGCCAGAAAATGTTCAGAGCTGGTGTTCTGATTGCAGACCCCCAGCCCCTCCCATCTGCACTGTAGCTGCAGTCCCTCTCCTGGTGCTGGCACAACACTGCTGCAGTCTCTTCTTGCCAAATAATGGAACTGAGCTTTGTTAGTGAGGCAGGGCCGTGTATTGTCTGTCTATTTTGTTGGTAAGGATACGCTGTAGCTGTTTTTTTCTTTATTATCCATAAAGTTGAATTATGCACAACCAATTTCACTCTAAAGAACTCTCATGTACATTTAAAAAATAGAAACAGGGCTTCACTTTCATTTCATTATGTTCTAGTCTTTACAAGGGTTTGTGCTTCTGCTCCTGAGATGCCTTTGCTTACAATGAGAAGGTTACCTCGTACCTTATAATGTGCACCCTTATTTGACAGCCACTTTTCAGCTCAGTAATTATATACACAAATAGCATGCTATCAAAATGTACCATTAAATATATATCTTTTTAAATTCTTGCAGCTTATGTGTTTGGGAAGACACTTCTGTACCTGTGGACAAGAACTTCAGTAGCTAAATTGTCTTCCCCATCGCACTGAGCCTCTCCAGAGCCCTTGTAGATGCTCAAAAATAATTCCAAAATACCTTAGGAATTAGTATGCAAAGAACTAGAGCTCTGATATTGAAAATACCTGAGACCAAATGGGAAATTGTCTGAGAAGTAATACCAGGCAGCTACCCAGTACATGGCAATGCAAAATGTGATCTCTTCCCTTCTTCCATCAGAGGTGCTGCTTTTAACTGATACATTTCAGAACCCAGTGATTAAAAAGTCTTGTGAGCAGCATGGAGCCACTGCCAGCTCTCATGTTATCCTACAAATGTTAGCAGTGATCATCCCTATAAAAATGTGCACGTTTTGTTAACTGCTGTCATTTATTTCAGAGCACTTATTGCTATAAAACATCAAAGACATTTTAATTAAGAGCTTAAATTTTTTATGCTGTGAAGTAGAAATATTTATGAAAGACCTCATCAGAGGCAGAATATTAAAACAAAACAGGTGTTTTAGCAGAAACACAAATAAAATGTCTATCAGTAAACATTAAAAAAATCAATTATTAATCGCGGTTCTTTTAATTCCTATTGAATTGCCTTCCAAAAATTGTGTGCCTAGGAAAGTATATGGCTCTAGTATTTTCTTATCCTATCTCTTGGCCTTCCTATTTCTGTCCTGGGGTGCAGCTGAATACATCATCTGCACCTTGTTCTTGGGATCAAACTGAGATGAAGGTTATAAACTAATAGAGCCAAGTGTCTGAATTCTGTCCTAAGTGCTCTGTTGGAAGAGGTGACTTTGCCGTTTCCTTGGCACAAGCAATTTTTCACTCCTAATGTTAGTATTTCTTCACTGTTGAAGATACCAAACCCGAGAATTCATTATGAACCCTTTGGTGGTCTGTAAATGCTATGATGTTTTCTAGATCTGGCTCACAGTTCTGTTGCTAGAATGAAACCAGATGTAGTTGTCTCTCCCCTGTACCTCGGCTTTCTTTGCCCAGTCTGGTTAGGAGGTATCTGTGAGACTGGAGAAGAATGTAAGGCTGCAGTGTCCACCTTGGACAGGCGGATTGGTGTGGCAGATCCTCTTATGGTCAATGCTAGCTTTATTTGTCTTCTGAAACCCAAAAGCCTCTGGGCCTTTGGCTTAGAGCAGCCTGTAGGCTGCCCCCAGTTTCTCCTTCTGTTGTTACTGCCATAACTTTGTCCGCTGCCCTAAACCACTTGCTTGAAACACTGCATTTGTATTGCAGCATTCTGTAAGTTCTGTATTATTTATAGTTCCCTCACAAACATTAAGGAAAACGTTGCTTTTGGTTCCATTGAAATTATGGCTGGGTCAACAAGATTAATGCTACTAAATCTCTGCTTTATTTCTGAAGATAAAAATTGTGTTTGTCTTGTAGGTTTTTAATTATCTGTATCTGTTTCAGCTCAGGGCCTACCCTGCACCCTGTGCTTAGCAAGGGGCCACCAGCTGTGGAGCCGGCTGATTCACAACAGGTGGCAGTAAGTAAAGATGCAATCATGGTAATTAGCAGGTGGGAGGGAGACGATCTACCTTATGTAGCTCTGAGAGCCCGTTCTAGAATAGTCCAAGTTTTCATTGCTGGTTGAGAGATGTGATTGGGTGACAAGATCTGTGTGAGGTGTGGGTGGAACTGGGAGGGAGGTGGAGCAGGGGAGGGGGAGAGAGCCAGGTGTTCCCAATCACCTACAAAAAGCTTGGAAGAGGGCTGAAGGTGCCTTATTTGTGCTGTAGGTGCATGGGGAGGAGGTGTTTGTTCCTGCTCCAACTGGAAAAGCTTTATTTATTGATTTATTTATTGTAAGGAAAACTAGTCTGTCCTAGTAAGAACCTCGCTAGCTGTGAGGTGAGCTTGAAGCATCTGCTCTGCAGCAGATGAGAGTGCAAAAGGAGTGAGGAGGATGTCCCTCTGTGAAGCTTTTCCACATCTCTGGGGAGGAGAAGGAGCAAAGCAATGGTGCTGCTGCTGCGTGTGGGAGCGACTGGTCTGCTAAAGGTGAGTGTCTTGTTGCTGTTATGGTGAGCTCCTTCAGCTGCGAAGGGGGAGAGATGCTGATGTTTTGGTGCAAATAAGAACTGAGGCTGAGCATCTGAGAAAGAGGAGGGTGCCCACTCATGGGGCAGAGCCTTTCCTGAGCGTAGCCTGTGACTTGTGCTGTGGGTGCTCTTCTCATGTAGAGCTGAAAACATATGCTGGAGTGCTTATCTCAGGGCTTTTAAGCTATGTAGGTAAACCTAAACTTTGCTCTATTTTCATACTGATGGCAGTGATGCTGTTGCAAAATTTAGTATGCCAGGTGAATATTCTCTGTTTCATCGATCTATCATCCAGTTCTATTGTTGTTGACTGTCAAGTGATTCTGTTTTCTTGCTCCAAACTCCTAATGGAACTATTCACATTTTTCCAACAACTGTTGTTCAACTCAGTGGGTGAACTTGGTTGGCAAAGCTCCCTTGGTTGTATTGGAGGCCAGATTCCACATATGCTGTTTCTCTGCTAATTAGTGGATTTATGATTTTTCCCCTTTCCAGTTCTTTTCAACAATTAAAGGAACTACAGTGGGTGCATCTCATGCTGTCTACTGCTTAAGAGAGTGAGGAAAGGAATCAAACTCATTAAAACATATTTATCCTTTGTGATGTAAATTTGATGACTTAATTCAAAGTACAAAATGGCAAGTGAGGTGGCCTACCAGCTTTGTTGAGATTGCAGTATGTGAAAATGAGTGCCTCAAAGACAGAGGGTTCCAGTAACTTCAGCTGTGAGCAGGTTTATTGCAGCTCTTTGATTGGGGGCTGAAAGCTGTGTGTCCAGTGCTGGCTGTGATAGTGATCCTCCTGTCTTCATCTGAAGTTAGCAAAGAAATTAGACTATTGGCTAAGATTCTTGCGGTCTTTGGAATGGCAGAGCATATTTTCCTTAAATCTCCCTTCTGGGGAAGTGTTTACGTGAATGCTTTGGATCTTTTTTAAGGTAATCTTAACTTTCAAGTTATAGAAAGGTTAATCTTCTGTTTCCTAGTGCACAAAATCCTTGCTTACTGGAAGCTGCGAAGAAAGTGTTATGACTCAAAACATGGCACAGCTCTGGTATCACTGGTGGGTGGGGGGGGAGGAAATTAGCTGTAGTCAAAGCAGCTGTTATTTGGGTAGAAATAAAATGCTGCATGTTTCACCTGAAGAGTTCCTTCTAGCTTCTTCTCAACTGCTCGGTTCCTTCATCTACTTTAATTTGGCCAGTAAACTGATGTGTGAAAATCATGTGCTAGTTCAGAATCATTTATCCTGTGAATAACGTGCTTGAAAGTCCCTCAGGATGGCATTAACCTTTATGTTGATGCAAGTGAGGAGCTTTGTGTGATTTCTTAGGCTGTTGTGTGCTAGGTGTGAATCGAGTGCAGTTGAACATAGTTCATCTTGTAGCAGAGTAATTAAAAAATGTTTTTGTAAGGGAAACATAGCAAAGATGCTCCCTCTGAAATAATGGTGCTATAATTGCAATATGTTATTGTTTTTTGTGTCTACTTTTTAAAGCTCATAGATTACAACGCTCAGACTGAAAGGTATTCCTGCTTCTTTCTCATCTCCCCAGTCAGCTGCTAACTTAAATGCAGTTCTAACTACCCGTCAGAACTTGCTTGACCAACCAGAAGATACTTTCTTGTCTTGATTCACATCTTGCCAGGTAATCAAATAAAGGAAAGTCTGTTGTGCAGTGCAAGCTGTTGATATCAGTAACAGAATAGTGAAGTTGGCTAATGCTGTGGGACAAGTGATTACTAATAGGAATGGGAGTAGTGTGCTGAAATCAAAAGGTCATCAGCGTGTGTCTGCAACTGATCCTTCATGGCCTTGTTTTTAACACAGGGGACTTTACTCATTCCTAGAATCTCCTGAATACTGTATTAAGGAAGGACTTTTTGCGTGAAAGAAGACTTGTAGAAATCATACAATCACCAGGGCTGGAAAAGATCATCCATTCCAGCCATTCATCTACCACCAGTGTTTCCCACTAAACCACATCCCTCAGTACAGCATGTAACTGGTTCTTGAGCACCTCCAAGGAAATGTTGCATGGGGTAGAAGTAAACTCTTTGTTGGAGTTGCTCCCGTGCCTGTGTTTGCACTGCTCATCTCCTGAGTGCTGGTGTGCCATAGGAACAGGGAGGACTGCTGCTCCTGCTTTGGTGTGGTATGTCAGAGATGTATGCTGTAGGATGTACTGCTTCTAGCAGAAGATATGGCAGTACCTAATTAGCCAGCAATTATCTAACGTATAAATTAGCTCGAGCAATAGATTCACTACTGCTACCTCTACATATGGTGTCAGAGATGGCAGTGAAAGGCTGCTCTGAACTGACTGGTCTCTTTTCAGAGAGCTGCTGTTAGGGGAGGTTCCATTCTGGTTTCTGAGGCTGGGATTACGGCCCTGTGCTGTGCAATAGGTGAGCAACTGTAATTCCCTAGAAATCTGTTCCAGCCTTCTGTGAGCTGTGAGTTTTCTTTTCAGACTCTTCTGGGCTGCCAATGTCTGTGAAACTGAAGAACGTCTGTGGCTCTGGGAATATGTCGGTGTTGTCAGAGGAGTGTGTTCATTGTGCCTCATGAATTTCGTGATAAGGGGGGTGGGGGGGGTGGGGGGAAGCCCTCACTGTTCTGTGTCATTTCTGGTGCCGGAGGAGCTAATTAATGTGAGAGGGGAAACAGCCCAGACCAATAGAACTGGAATTGAATTCAAATGAAAATTTCACCTGGGGACTTTCTTCTACTTTCTCTTAAATTTTGGAGAGCATTGCAAGATGAAATTTCTTCTCTAATGTGCCTCAACTAGAGCAATGAACACAGAATTGTCTGAGTATGTGCTGACTGTGGCTTGTTTATCTGAATGGCTGCTGCCTTTAAATGTGGTTTTTAACTACTTGATTATTCTTCTTGAAATCACATACTTTTAAAAATACAACTTTACAGGATTTTTGTTTTATAGGAGTAACTGAAGTATTGTCTTTTGGGAAAGTTTGCTATTCCTGTGTCTTTAACAGTGGCTTCTCTTGATGCTCCTTGTTGAGATTCTTGTATGATTTCAGCCTTTCTCATTTTAAATTTGTCACGTTCCTTTGTGTAAAGTGCAAACAAGTGGTTTGTATTTTGAAAAGAAGAAAAAGTTCTACCCTCTTTAGTTACAATTTGGAGAGTCTATTTCAGATGTTCTGTGAACGCTGAAGACTAAATTTAACAGTGCTAGTAAAACAGGCAGAGAAGCTCCCAGGCACGTAGGCAGTGTACCCCAGGTTATAAATATGTGCCCAAGACTCATTTCAGAAGAGAGAACAGTATGGACTCCTCTGCAGTTCCACAGGAAAATTATTCTGGCCAGTGGTAAAGGATCCAGCTGGCATTTTGATTGACTTCAGATGAAACTTGCATTCCAGGTTTTTATTGTAGCTTACACAAGCTGTCCAAGTACTCACAGCACATCCCCACGGAAAACAAAAGATGATGTATGTGCAGCTTGGTTTTGTTGCTACAGTGAATACGTGTGCAAGCTTAAAAAGGAGAAGAAACATTGAATGGTTGGGGTTTGAAAACATACAGTTTAATAGGAATAGCCTGAGTTGTGCAGGGTTTGTTTGCTTTGGAGGTTTTTTTTGGCTTTTTTTTTGGTTGTGATGTTGTGTGGTGTTTATACATAGCAGTATGGTGCAAGGCAGCAGAGGGTTTTAAAGTCATGATCTTGCCGCTCCTTTTGCTGCTGTTGTGATGCTTGGAGGCCTTTCCAAAGGATCAGTGGTGGTGTCTGTTAAGCTCTCTGCCCCAGTCCCACACTCTATCAGCAGGTGGCACCGGGCGTCCTCAGTGCCCTTAAAGGGGAAAGGTTGGTGTCAGGTACGGCTTGGGGCACGGCTCCAAACATCTGCACAGAGGAAGCTCACTTGTCTGCAGTATGGGGCATGAGTTCTGTTTCTGAGCTGCTGCAACGAGGGTGGTTCTTCACCCAGTGCTGCTGTACAGCCGTAACAGGGCAGCAGCATGGTGTTAACTGCTCTTTTCTTGGTGGGTGAGCATCCTGTGTTGGTTACATCTGGTGCTGTTAGGATTTCTCTTCTTTCTCCAAACGTATGCAAACACAAAGTTGAGTAGTTTCCTGAAATATCTCTGTTAGTCTTCAGAAGCACAGATGAGCTGATACTTTACAAGCTACAGTTCTCTTTGTTAGCCTTGAAGTTCTTGGTACTGTTCAGAGTGCAAATTAATCAAGGGTCCTATGCATAAAGTACCACATGATGGTGTAATTAAAACCGTCTGTAAATGCAGTGGGGCCAAACTGCAGTTGCATGGGCAGTTCTAATTCTGGCAGTTCTTAATTTTGGAGTGCTTGGATTAGCAATAAAATGCTGTTTTATTGTGGTTTTTCAATGTAATTAAAAATATATTGGGAGATGAGCAAGTGAAGTAGGAAACAACACAGAAGATAATTACAAGCAGATCTTCATTTCAAGCAGAGAAGTTAATCTTCCTTTGGGCTCTTGGGCCTGTTTTAAGAGGGTAATTAGCCGTAGACCCTGCGGCTTCTGACTTCCAGTCTCAGTTTAAACCTCTACATCCTAATACATGAGGATGTGCAGCTCCGAGGCTGGGAGAAGCTGTCAGGCACACGCATGCATTCTGCATGTTTGAACCTGGGGACAGCAGCCTGAGTTCTGCTGGACCCTGCCTGCTCAGCAAGGATGTGTGTGCAACTGGTTTCAGTGAAGCAGAGAGCCTCGGAAGCAATTCTATTCCTATGAGTAGATGAACTTCTCCAGTCCTAGTTTTTCCTTTTGTTACACTGTGTTCTAAAGGTGAAAGTACACAGTCATAGCAGATTTTAACCTGTCAGCTATAGAACCAATTAATTTGATATTTCCTTTACACTTTGTTTATGGGTCATTGTGTTTAGCCCTTCTGTTTCCTTTACTCTGGTTACACAGGCATTTCCAGGTGTGAGTGCTGTTTGAA